TTCCACCCACCCACAATTATGCATGTTCCACCCACCCACTGTTATGCATGTTCCACCCACCCACTGTTATGCATGTTCCACCCACCCACTGTTATGCATGTTCCACCCACCCACTATTATGCATGTTCTACCCACCCACTATTATGCATATTCCACCCACCTGAGCCGTGTTTTGAGCCGACTCAACACACATTTGCAACTTCTTGCTTGACCCGCTATTATGCATGTTCCACCCACCCACCTGAGCAGCTAGGTTGAGCTGCTATCATGCATGCTCCGCATCCTCTACTTCTTTCTATGTTTTCAGCATCCCCATTGCTTTCTGTTTCCCCTTATTCCACCCCATTCGTCTATGCACTCACATCACATCAGACATGGCTTGCGCAGCGTTGGGCTGCGAACCGGATGGGGTTTGTGTGAAAAGCGCCGAAGGAATCCGCTCTTGCAAATGGAGTAAGCATGCCTTCCAGCTTTCTGTACCCCCAACCCAGCGTATCAGCACCCATAGGCACTCATTCTCCTCTAGCTCTATAATTTGGTGTAGCTGCCCCTTTTGCTCTGGCTCTATTCAGCTTTCCTCTGCAGCTGCCCCCTTTTGCTTTTGGCTCTATTCTGCATGCCTCTGCAGCTGCCCCCTTTTGCTTTTGGCTCTATTCTGCATGCCTCTGCAGCTGCCCCCTTTTGCTTTTGGCTCTATTCTGCATGCCTCTGCAGCTGCCCCCTTAGCTGTTCTCATAAGGACTTTTGAAACTCAAACTTTGACCTTTCAGGCGCTTGAAAAGCCTCCAGCTGGCCCTTTTGCTGCACCCATTGTGCCCTCTCTCTGCCATTCCATGTGCCCTGCCTGCTTGCTGTGTTTCTCAGACTCAAAAGTCAACTCTGAAAAGACCGCAGCTAGCCCGTTTGCTGCCCTCATTTCACCATCCCTCTACCATTCCATGTGTCTCCCCTGCTTGCTGTGTTGCTCAGACTCACCCTGTGGCACATGCCCTACTGGCGCCACCTGCAAGACCGTCCCTACAAAAGCAACTAGTTTCCTACAGGCCGAGGTGCCTTACTGCCAGTGCTCTTCGGGCTTTGGGATGACCGCAACAAAATGCATCCAGGGTAAGACTCAATGCCGCCCTATCTGCGTCATCTCCTTTGATCACATGCTGCACTTGCCGCACTAAGCTTTGGATGAGGGCTAACGAGGAGGTGTAGTGCGGTGACTGGTCATGAAGTTGTGATCCTCTTGCCCTGAAGTTGTTATTTCATGCTGCAGGCTTCTTTCTTCTTCTTCTTCTTCCGGCTTGGAGTGTAACAGTAGCTTTAACTTGCAGCAGTCAACTTGGACGCAATTTTCGTGTCAACTCAAAGATCTTGCAGCAGTAAACTTGGACACGTGTCGGCTTTTCACCTAAACTGTCCTTCCTTGTCCCAAATCCTTCTCACTCGTTCTGTACCATCTGTGCTCCGCGCCTCCCTTGCTGCTTGTGCCATCATCTATTCCTCAGGTGCATCACACCAAGTGGCTGCCAGTAGAATGACACTCTTCACGGATCATAAACGCCAGAGGCAATTTCTGAGGTGCCTGAAAACCCCCCCTGCTGTTTCTCCTGTCCATTCTCAGGTGCATCAGACCAAGTGGCTGCCACCAGTATGACACTCTTCGCGGATCGTAACGCCAGAGGCAACGCATCCAAGCCCTACACCTTCCGCTTAACACTGGGCGGTTGCACTCAAATCCCGAAGGAGGTGGCCGGGATCTACACACTAGAGTACTCACTGCATCATATCGGCGGTGTTCCGGGTTGTTTCTACGTCACTTATTTCACTGGAGATAACTGCGAACCCTCGAGCCGGAGGTCGTCACGCACGATGGCGGCTGGTCCTCCAATGGATGCGCTGGCAACTTCGTAAGTGCCAACCAATCACAAATCACTTCGTTTGTAGTCTGCATATTGCCATAGATTGATAATTTGCACTTTGTACTTCACCATACCTATCAATTGTTCACCATTATACCATGCAGTCCACCCTGTACACAAGTCCATCCCTCTCATTTCTCCCTCTCAATTCTTGTTTCCTCTGGTGCGTGTCTTTATTCTTTCATCATCAACCAGGTGGGGCTTGCCCGATGGAACCCGCTCTGTCGGGTGCTACTATGACACCTGATTTCCTCTTCTATGTGCTTCTCGTGTTCTTATACGGTATGTTTAAATAAGCGAAAGTTTATTTAGATGCCAGTACCGGTAGTTGTGCTAGAAGTGCAGTCAGACACTTGCATATATAATATGGTCAACTGTTGCGATGCAAAACGTATCGGCAAGTGGTACGTAACTGTAAGTCCCTCAACAATCACCTGCAAAATAAGGGAATGTACCCCTTAGAGTACATGGCTAATTAGGACGGACTATGTATTATGTTTGTATTTTAATTATATTGTACGAAAATGTTATTGTAAAGACCTCTGAAAATTAACAAATGCCTTTCTAGGATAAGGGATGTTTGTTGTTTTTGGTTATCATCTGAAAGGAAGCTATAGCTTTTGCATTTATAGGTGATGAATTAGACATTTCCTTCCCCCCATCCCATGTTGAACACCCTCCAACATAATGCAGACCTAGAACATTTACTTTCAAGAACACAGAGCTCTTACAGTATCGCGTATCATGATATTTGGTGATTTCATGGACAGCGCGACAGAGACCAGCAATTCATGTTCTAAAATTCCTGGTGGCACGTGTCTGAATTGGTTTTGGTGATGTCAGCTTGCCCCTCCTTCCACCGATGAGCCACGCGCCCAACCGTCCTACGTGTACGTCGACAGCGTGTCCCCGCAGTTTTCCACACCCAAGAATATGATCCTTCCCAAAATCCTGCGAGCGGGATGGGTTGGTCAGGTCATATTGACCTGACCAGACTGCATTTGAAGCAAAGCGCATGTTCGAATGGTTAGGTCATATCCGCAACACACGCAAAGTTTTGTCGATTTTTCGTCATGTCACGGGCATGGTTTGCAGAAGAGCGTAACTAAAAAAGTGCTGTGGATTTTTTTCTTGTTTCACCACCGAGAACTCGGTGTTCATGGTTGTCCGGGCAGGATTCTACTTTGCGCCGACTCCTCCTACCTTCCCTCAAATGCGAGCATGGGGAATGCAGTTCAACTATCCCTCTCCACCTCGAAGTGTACAAGGTACACCTCGAACTATCCCTGGGGGCGCGGTTCTCTTCGGGGCTAATCCTGGTCAGGAGTGAAATCCTTACCCAGGGTTACGACTTAGTCGTACAAGCCGAAAAATAAAAAAAAAAATCCACCTCGAAGTGTACAAGGTACACCTGATCTTCGTCTGGGTCACCCAAATTTGCCTTGTAAAGAAGACGCTTTAGTAATTCTTGCATTTAGCAAAGGTTTCGATTATTCGCAGCTAGCAAAAAAGGATTCGTTTGTGCTAATACAAAACTTCTGTAACTTTTTCGTTGGCATTTAACTTCAGTCTCTTCAATTTGACTTCAGTCTCCTCGTTACTATTGGTTCAGAATCACTGCAACTTGCGCAAGGTGCTTGTAACGAGGGTGCAACTGGCTGGTAGAAAAAAACCGGGTGCAGGCTTTCTGAAATGTACAGACCGAATCCGCGTGCAGCGGTTGGGCATTATGTGTACAATGGTTTTCCCATCTCATCCCCCGCCCTCCCCCGCTCACATCCCCAATCCCCGTCCCCCCTTTCCCCTTCCCTCCCCGCAACCCCCGGCCACATGACAAGATCTCATACCCCTCTTACGGCGCACCTTTACACGCACAGGTCCTTCTTTCCTGCAAGCCCAGGTTTCTGATATTTCCCACCGACCTCCTTTTCTCGCCCCATTCCGCCTTCTGCTTGTCCCTCCCTCCCTGCAAGCAGAGCAGAGCGGAGGCAGTGTGCTGCTGCGCGTGGATTGGTCAAGCTAAACTCGCCCTGCAGATGTGCCCTACCAATTAGAAATGCAACTCGCCTCTAGCTGATGTGCTCCCCGTACCCTACCCGTCCATGATGACGTCACGTCGACGTCCAAGTGACTGAAAGTGAGGTGAGGGAGGGGAGGCGAACAAGGCTATTCTTTCTCCCTGCTAGGGCCGTCCCACCCAACCCACCACCCAGTTGAACCAGGGACAACGGGTCGCGCGAGGAAGAATAGCACCGTTACAGCCCGTTGTCGTCCTCCACTATCCATTTGGAAAGGCTGTGTTGACGGCGGTTATTTTCTCCTAAAATATTAACTTCAGCGGCGCGTAAGCAGCAGCGCAACGGAACGGCAGCAGTTGGCACATTAGCAGCCATGGCGTGCGGCATGAGCTTCATGGATGCGCTTCGGGTCGCAGCGAAGACCAAAGACGCTCCGTCTGAATGGTTCGAGCATCAACCCACGTGGCCCACGAATTCCTTTCCCAACGATAAAACCAGCTCCGAGCCCGTTTCAGCGCCGAACCTTCCCATTCCGAGCCTCTCTATGCCGAGCCTCCCCATGATGCCGAGCCTTCAGGCGCCGAGTCCAAGAAAGCGACGGCAATGCGGCCTGGATACGCCTCGGAAAACCCGCTCCGAGTCGCCTGCTGCTGCAGATTCCACCGATGCTTTCTCGGATCTTAACAATGCCGCTCCAAGAACGACTACCAGCGAAAGATTCTTTAGATTTATCCAAGATCCTGCCGCAGAGGCTTCTGAGACTCCCGTCGATGGTGCCGCTTCAGCTTCTGCGGATCTTTACAGAGCGGTTACAAAATCTGGCAGGGAGGGGGAGGGGGGAAATCCACATGCCGAGCTTGCTACTATTTTCCGCGACGGCTGGCCTGCATATCGTCAGGCAGAGACACCACGACCCTCTTGCGCCACGGCTCAACACGGCGCTATCACGGCCGCACAATGCGGTGCCACTACTGTTACTGGACCGACCACGAAGCGGTCGCCTCGACCGCCGCGCCGTCGCGAGACTCGTCAACCTCCGCTAACGCCGAAGGCTCGCACTCTCCCGTGGGGAATGCGGTCGCCGCCAGCTCCGGCGGAAGCAGATCCCGCTGACGAGTCCGCTGTTCCGCCACCCCGCTTGACATTCTCCCCCGACTCCTCCGCCTCCCCCGCCTGTTCCGCCTTCCCCGCTTCCCCCAAGCTGCTCGTTTTGCCGGATTCTGCCTTCTTCCCTTCCCCGCGCATCCCCGAAGCGCGTTTTACCTCTCCCCGGACAAGTACGCCCGCGACTTTCGAGCCGCCTCAAAACACTGCCCCGCGGCCTCCGGTCTTTCGTTCCGCGGCATCTCCGCGGGCGTGTGGCACTGACTTGGAGGCGCCGCAAAAATGTGGCACCGCGCCAACCACTCCCTCGTGTCCGCCCCTCGTCGAGCCGCGACTGCCCCGAGCGCGCACGTGTGTCGTTCAGGTGGATAGCGACGGAAGCGCGCTCGCCGCCTCCACTGGCGCGTCCGCCATCCGCAGAGCATCATCCGCCTCGTGCTACTCGCCCGCATCTGCACATGCGGCGATTGGCGCGGTTGACCGTGTTGACCCGGTCAACGGCCACGTGTCAACGTGCGAATGGGCTGAGTCTGCTGTCGTGGACACACTGAACATTCCGCCATGGGTTCGAGAGAAACTTTCCGTTTCCTGCGCGGAAGAGGCGCAGAAGAATCAGTCGGCCGCGCTCACAAGAGTTCGTCGCATAGACCGCGAAACGATGGCGGACGGCGAGAAGGGAGCGGGACGCGTCGAGTGCGGCGGCGAGTGCGGCAAGGTGTGCAGCGGCGAGTGCGCGGAGGATCGAATCCGCGAGAGGGGCGCGGAAGGGGAGAAGCCGAGCCTGTGGGACATAATGCAGTGGGAATCCGATATGATCGCGTCCGCCTGCTCGACTGCCGCTGCGAAATCTCCCCGACAACCGTTCTCTAAGCGGTGCCGCTCCGCGTCCGCTCTCCCCACCACTCCGCCTCCCACGCCGTCCGCGTCGAAAGCGTCGCTGACGGTCCAGATCTGCAACGATGCGAGCGCCAACGGCGGAGATCTGTCGTTTTTCGAGGAGCTGCTGCTGGAGTTCGGCGCGGGTGAGGGGGAAGAGGCGGGCGGAGAAGCGGGCGGGGAAATGGGGGAAGAACGGGGATGGGCGGAAGAAATGCGCATTCCTGCGGAAGAAACAGCTCAGTTTGAGGAGGTTGCGCCTGCTGTGGCGCAGCTAGACGACAAGTGGGGTAATTATTCGGTGAAAATGGAAGATACGGGGAAAGATGACGGCAGGGAGGGGTTAATGATCGACGAGGGGTGCGTTTTTGAGCGGATTCAAGTAATGGGGGACGAGGGTGCGGAGATGGGGGACGACGCCAGGGAAGTGGCGGTCAACGGGGCGGAGATGGCGGAGGATGGAGTGGAGATGGCGGATGAGGGCGCGGGGATGGCGGATGAGGCGGGAATTCCAACCAATAAGCTTTTGCATGATCAGCCTGCTGCTGTCAGCAATCTGCATAGCAGTGTTCAGCTAGGGCGGAAACACGGGGAAGTGGGGGAGGCAGAAGCGGAGCAGCAGAACGCGCTGCAGTGTGGTTCACCGTTCCGTTCCGCGCATGGTTCTCCGAGCGCCCCTGCTGGCGGATTCGCGCAGATGTGGTCGGAAGCGTGGGCCGACGATGCGGATGCGGAGATTCCAGGCCTGGCGGGAAGCTGCGTGTTTCGACCGTGACTCGAGACGTTTCCCGAGGTGCGCTGCACACGCTACAAGCTCCTGCCCTAATAATGTCGTGTTACACTGGCGATGCTCTGGTCCCAGAAGAAAAGCGTTCAGAAACCCTGCAGCTGCTGCTGTTACACTTGGGGAGTTACAACTACAGCTACGGTTCCAGCTACAGTTACAAACCGTGGCTTCTGTTCTTCCCACTACATTGTTGAGATGGTGCCGCATCGTCGTCTCCTCCTGATGCCAGGAGGATGAGAATACTAAACGAACTGCTGATTTGATTCGCCTACATGACATCATCACCCTGGCGATGATTTGGTCCGAACACAGAGCTCTCCTAGAGACCTTAGCTCCACCTCCCCTCAGATCCCTACCTTGCTTCCTCACTCCTCACTCCTCACTCCTCACTCCTCACTCCTTACTCCTCACTCCTCACTCCTCACTCCTTACTCCTTGCCTCGCTTCTTGCCTCTCACAATGCCTCTCACAATGCCTCTCACAATGCCTCTCACAATGCCTCTCACAATGCCTCTCATCTTCCATCATCCCACCTTCAACCGCCAGAACCCCCCTCCTGCCGTCCCGCCATTTCTCACTCCATGCTCCCTGCCTCTTGCAGTGCCTTGCTTCTTGCATCGCACCACCTTCAACTGCCAATACACCCCTCCATCCCTTCATTCCTTCCTTGCCCCTCCTCCCTCGCCCCTCCTCCCTCGCCCCTCCTCCCTCGCCCCTCCGTCGCCAATCCCTCGCCCCTCCTCCCTCGCACCTCCTCCCTCTCCCCTCCTCCCTCACTCCTCCTTCCATACCAGCCTCACACCACACCCTGAGCCCTGGCACTCTCTTGCACCTTGTGCCTTCCCCGCCACACTATTCTTTTATTACCCTACAGGGAAAGGGCTTCATTGTGGGTTCATTTCCGTTAGACGGTCTTTGAATCATCTTCCTGTAACAATCATGCTGTAATGCGGAATGTCCTCTTGTTTTTCCCCAGTGTCACTACATTGAAAAGAGCGGTCCGACCGTCACCCAATGCTGTTCCATTGCGGTTTGCCCTCTTCATAGGTATCTTCTGTCAACAACTTAGAGAGCAAGGCAAGCACGTCAGTGACGTCACTCAAAGAATGGTACGGTATTCTGCTGTCTCTAATTTATCGGGAAGCATTCGCTTGAACAAGCCAACCAACCAAGCTGGAGCTGAGACCACCAGATAGGGCGGAGTAGAACAGAGAATATTGTCAAGTATGGTGTTCAGTTCATAGCATCTATAGCAGAGAGTACGTATTGCATCCACTGTAGAGGCAGTTCACACTACAATAATCGATCCACTCTGTAATCTACCTCTACTGCTCGCTCTTGAGACCGAAGGCACGGATATAGAAGTCAAAGCGCTGCTTCTCCTCCTGCCTATCCAGCATTGTGTCCTCCCACTTGTAGTGGTGCCGCGGCCGCTTCTCCTGACAGAGCAAGGGGATGGGAGAAACGAGGTAAGGGAGTGAGAAAGGGAAGGGAGATTGGGAAAGATAGGGGAACAGATAGGGGAATGAGGCAAGAGGGATGGGAAAGGGCAAAAATAGAAAAACGAGAACGCTATCAACCATCCTCCCATCAGCCAATAACCCCTCTCTTATCCTCACCTTGGAATTAGCTGCCAGGTAGGCGTGCATCTTATCCGCCACGTCATCGTCCAGCTGGCGCTTGAGCAGATCTCGGTAGATGCGGCGCACCGTGGCCATTGGATCAGCCACGAGATCGCTGTAGCACACATCAACGGCCTGGGATGTCCGTAAAGCCAGCAGCACATCAGCACTGTCTACTGAAGACAGTTCGTTACTACTGTTACCACTACTGCTGCTGGTGTCACTCCTGTTCACACCAATAGGCGAAGAACCGTTGCTTGTGCTTCCACTGCTCACAGTACCGCCTGCACTTCCCTCCATCTCCTCTCCTCCCCCTATCTTCTCCCCCTTCGTTACAGTCACATAGCCATTTGAGCCATCTGAATGCCCCTTCTTCTGGTCTCCAGTCACTTCTTCCTCCTCAACCCATTCGCACGCCCCTCCCTTTTGAGACATCTCAAAAGTTGAGCCATCTGAATGCCCCTTCTTCTCTCCTCCAGTCTCTTCTTCCTCAACCCCTTCGCACGCCCCTCCCTTCCCCTCCATGCCTGCCCCGTCGATCCCCCGCAGCCGCATCATCTCAGCCAATGCGCTTGCGACAGCTGGCACCCAAGTCTGGGAGATCTGGGGGCAGGACGGAAGGGGAAAAGGTGGAAAGGGGCACATATCGAGGGAAGGGAGATGAGTGAGGGAGGCGGCGGCAGGTATTTAGTCTCTAAGAAAACAGTCGACGCATGTTCAGCTTTGATGTTGCATATGATTGATAACAGAGCATATGCTTTAGCAAAGCAATGACAAGCTAAGCTCAGCGTTACCTCTGATTTGTCAACGTGGTCCGAGTGAATGCTCCTTATCCCCCTTATAAGGCTATGTGCCGATGCTAGCACAGTCAGCGGATTCCTGGCGGGATAGATAAGAAAAACATAGACAGGGCTTCAGAAAACGAAAGTACATGGGAAAAAAATCGGTCAAGAGAAGGAACTACATCCCCCTATAGTAAAGTGTGTGTGACGAGAGGGTCTCTCCCTCTCACACACACACTGTGGTCTCTCCCTCTCACACACACACACTGTGGTCCCAAATCCTCCTTAATCTGCAACTGCCTCCCTATCCCTCACCTCCAAGCCCTTCTCTTTCCCAAACCCCATGGGTGCAGTTCAGCTTGGCATCTTGAGCGCCAACGCGTGACGGCAGCGGGGGGCCTTGAGCCCTCGCCACTGCGCGTACCTTTTCGGGGTTTTCAGCGATCGTCTGGCACAGATGGTCCAAGTCTTTTCAGGGCCATCGCCACTGCGATTGTCTGGCACAGAGGGTCCAAGGAAAATCCTTGGAGCCCATGCCATGCCACTGCAGGTATTGAAGCTGCAGCCGCTGCAGCAGCTGCTCCCTTATAACGAGGTAACATTTGAGAGTTGTAGTCCTTGTGAGTGATTTTTGAGAATTCTCAAAAGTCTTTTCGAACTCACTTTGAGACGACTCTAAAGTCTTTTCGGAGCCCTCCCCTCGCCACTGCGATTGTCTTGCAGAAAGGGTCCAAGGAATATCCTTGGAGCCCATGCCATGCCACTGCAGGTATTGAAGCTGCAGCAGCAGCTGCAGCTGCTCCCGTACCCGCAACGCTCTCCCATTGGGGATCACTTTTTTTATACACCCCTAACCCTGTAACGCCACTGCAGATACTGCAGCTGGAGGTGCAGCTGCTCCTCTACCCGCGCAACCACACCCCAACGAGCGACTTTCAACCCCCCTACCCCCCAACCCTAATGACACCTCACCTGTGGGTGGAGATGAGGTTGGTGTTGGGAAAAACAGTCATGAGCGCAGGGAGAGAGAAGAGGTGAGATGTGCACTTGAGCAGCCAGCGGGGGTTCTTGGGCCCTCGTCACCGCAGGTGCCTCCCCAAGCCATTTTCCCCCACCCCACCCCACCCCACCCCATTTAATCATCACCTATCACCTGTGCGTGAAGACGAGCTTGGCATCGGGGAAGGCGGCCATAAGCGAGGGGAGAGAGAAGAGGTGAGCCGGGCACTTGAGAGGAGTGAACAGCTCGACCCTCCTAACCCCCCCATCCCCCCCATCCCCCCCATCCCCCCTATCCCCCAGTCCACCGTCACCTCACCTGTGCGTGAAGATCAGCTTGGCATCGGGGAAGGCGGCCATAAGCGAGGGTAGAGAGAAGAGGTGAGCCGGGCACTTGAGCAGCCAGCGGGGGGCCTTGGGCCCGCGCCACTGCAGGTACTGCAGCTGCTCCCCTTAACTTCTAACCCTAGCATAAACCCACTCCATCATCCCACCACCTCACCTGTGTGTGAAGATGAGTTTTGCGTCGGGAAAAGCGGTCATAAGCGCAGGCAGAGAGAAGAGGTGAGCCGGACACTTGAGCAGCCAGCGGGGGGCTTTAGGGCCGCGCCACTGCAGGTACTGCAGCTGCCAGCGCAGGAGGCGGTAGGTGGAGGTGAGGTCGGAGGAGAGGTACCAGCGGAAGTAGGAGGGGATGTTGAAGTGGATGGTGGGGAAGGCGAATGAGGTGAAATCGTACCTGGTTGGAGGGGGGGGGGGGAAGAGGGGGGAGGGGAGAGGAGGGGAGCGATGAGATGCAGATATATTAGAGTAGGTAGCATTGGGCCTTGAGTTTCTTCCCATCACCGCAGATACTGCAGCTGAGGCAGGTGAGGTGAGATGAGAGGTACCATCGGAAGTATGAGGGGATGTTGAAGTGGATGGTGGGGAAGGCGAATGAGGTGAAATCGTACCTGGTTAGATGGGCGGGGAGAGGGGGAGAGGGAAGAGAGGATTGAGAGAGGAGGGCGAGAGAGGAGGGCGAGAGAGGAGGGATGAAAGAGAAAGGGAAGGACGAGGGCGGGAGGAGAGGGGATGCTGAAGTGGATGGCGTGGAAGGCGAATGACGTGAAATTGTGCCTGGTGGGACATGGCACGGGGGACAGATAAGGGGAGGATGGGGGGGGGGGTTGACTGGGATCTCAAAACTCAACTCGTACTTGTTGCGAGAAAAACGAAGGGAGAATACACTAACTCGCACCATGAGAATTGTACTGTACATTGGTGATGATGGCATGGCAATAACAAGGATAATAAAATCAGGAACAAACAACCAGCAAGGGGTTCACACACGAGGGGATGAGCCAGATGGTTCATACTTGACTGATTGAAAGACAGGATTATCGTGCAGAAAAGTGTTTAACCAATCCCAAATCATCAGCACTCCACAATTATCATCACTGAAAAAAGCGGGCCTTGGCTACTCACATCATGAGTCCCATGCACTCCTGTGGACCTGTTGCCGTCACGGGATGTAATGCCTGCATGCAAGGGGGGGGTTGGAAGTGGTGGAGAAGGATTGGGGAGGGTGGAGAAGGTTGTAAGGGCAATATGAGTCCCAAGTATTGACCAGGAAGGAGCACCTCTGAAATGTAGGAAACAGAATAACGCACCTCACTATTGTCAGTGATGCCCACCTGGAAGGAAGGAAGGAAGGAAGGAAGGAAGGAAGGAAGGAAGGAAGGAAGGAAGGAAGGAAGGAAGGAAGGAAGGAAGGAAGGAAGCAGCACCTCTAGAGAAGGCTTCAGTCTCCCCGATGCGCTTTTCAGTGTCGTAGCAGGTGGCATCTGGGGGAGGGTGCATGTGATGCACCTCCCATGTGATGCACCTCCCAAGTGAGTTAGAGGCGAGGGGAAGAGAGAGCACACAGCAGCAGCACAGCACCCACCTGAAAGGAAGGCAGCAGCGCGGAGACCCCTTCCAAAAACGCCTCCGTCTCCCCAATGCGCTTGTCGGTGTCGTAGCAGGTGGCGTCCGGGGGAGGATGCATGTGATGCACCTCCCATGTGAGCGGCGAGCGGAAGAGCGATGTGTCGAGGGCGAGCAGGTTGAAGAGGAACGTGGTGCCTGTTCGGGGCAGACCCAATATGAACACTGGGGCCTGCTTTTAACGAGTATACGAGTGGCAAGGAAAGAGGGGGTGGGAGCAGGGGAGTGGAATAGCGATGTGTGAGGGCGAGCAGGTTGAAAAGCAAAGTGGTGCCTGTGCTGTGCGGGGCAGACCTATTATGAACACAGGGGCCTGTCTGTAACGGGGATAATAGGGGTCAAGAAGGGGGAGGGGATGAGTGAAAAGGAAAGGGGAGGAGAAGTGGAAGAGGCAAGTGTGGAGGGCAAAGAGTTTCGATGAGTGGCAGACCCGTTATGAACACTGGAGCCTGCTTGTAAGGGGTACAACAGGGTACATGAGAGGCGAGACAGATGGACCTTGTTGCCTTCCCTCACTCCATCCACTTCACTCACTCACTCACTCACTCACTCACTCACTCACTCACTCACCCACCCACCAACTCTTCCACTCTCCCACATACACTCACGCACTAACCACTCACCCACTCACTCCCTCCCCCCCTCCCTCCCATTCAGTCACTCACTCACTCACTCCCACCCACTCACTCCCCCTCTCTCACACGCACCTCGATCTTCTCCTCCTCAATCTCGGGATGCCGCCTCCTTGTATCCTCCAGCTGCAGCCGGTACCGCAGCAGGCGCTGGTGGGAGGAGAGGGGGAAGGGGGTAGGGAGGCGAGGGAAAGAGGGAGAGCGAGGGTGAGATGGGAAGGGCACCTGTTCATTCATTGGTGTCGCCTCCTCGTGTCCTCTAGCTGCAGGCGGTACCGCAGCAGGCGCTGGGGGGCGGTTGGAGGAGAGAGGGGTTGGCGGGGAGGGGAAAAGGGGGAGGGCGAGGGGGTGTTGGGGGCGGCGCCTGTTCACTGGTTGGTGGCGCCTCCTCGTATCCTCCACCTGCAGGCGGTACCGCAGCAGGCGCCGCGGAAGGGGAGAGGAGCAAGGGATTCAGAACCAAGGGGAGAGGGAGAGGGGGTGGGTGTGTGGGGAAACTGCCTGCTCTGCTCATGCCGCCTGCCTCCTCGTATCCTCCAGCAGCACGCGCTGGGGAGGAGGAGGGGAGGGGGTTGAAAGAATTCAGGATCAAGAATTGAGTGGACTCGACTCAAAAGTCACCTCGTAGGAGAGCGAGGGTGCAGGTGGGAGGACCGCCGCCTGCCTATGTTGAGGCGCCTCAAAAGGACCGCCTGCCTATGTCGCCTTTTGAGGCGCCTCAAAAGGACCGCCTGCCTATGTCGTCTTTTGAGGCGCCTCAAAAGGACCGCCTGCCTATGTCGCCTTTTGAGGCGCCTCAAAAGGACCGCCTGCCTATGTCGCCTTTTGAGGCGCCTCAAAAGGACCGACTGTCTATGTTGCCTCCTCGTATCTTCCAGCTGCAGCCGGTACCGCAGCAGGCGCTGGGAGGAAGCGGGGTGGGGGCGGGGAGAGGGCGAGGAGGGGGGGGTTTGTGCAATCTGCCTGCTCATGTCGCCTCCTTGTATCTTCCAGCTGCTGACGGCACTGCAGCAGGCGCTGGGATGAGGGAGGGGAAGGGGAGAGGGGAAGAGGGGGGGGTGGGGGCGGGGAGGGGGAAAGATATTCAGAACCGAGGGGAGAGGGCGGCGGGGTGTGTGGGAGGACTGCCTTGTCATGTCGCTTCCTCGAATTTTCCAGCTGTAGGCGGTAGCGCAGCAGACGCTGTCCGCAGGGGGGGGAGAAGAGGAAGGAGGGTGGGGGAGAGGGAGTAAGGGGGAGCGCAGAGAGAGGAGGAAAGAAGGGGATTGAAGGAGGAATACAGTCATGCATGCTAATCCGCTCCTATATAATATTTATTTTTACAATACATCATCGACCACTTTGCTGACAGTTACGTAGCCAGGATTGCTATAACACATCATTTACTGTACACCCTTCACTGTACCTGTACGTCGTTCACTGTACCTGTACGTCGTTCACCTGTACCTGTGCGTCGTTCACTGTACCTGTACGTCGTTCACTGTACCTGTACGTCGTTCACTGTACCTGTACGTCGTTCACTGTACCTGTACACCCTTCACTGTATCTGTACACCCTTCACTGTACCTGTACATCGTTCCATATAAGAATCCTCCCAAACGCGCTCAGCCTCGCCTCCTCTTCGAGCCCCTTCAATAGAAGCCGCAGCCCCGTCAGAAACGTTCCCTCGCCATAGTCACGCAGTCCCGTGGCCTTGTACGCGGCGCGCAGCACCGCGCGTTCCTCTAACGGGAGGAGCCACTGCAGCAGGCGCGTCGCGAGCGGCGGGAGGAAGAGGAAGCCGCAGAGCGCGTCGACGAGCCGCGTGGCGAAGTTGACGAAACGGGCGAAGAGAGGAAGGAGGTAACGACGCATGGCGAAGGATCGTGACGCGAGTGACCAGGAATAACTACGTAACAACGACCACTAAGGAGCGACGGCTACGGAGCGGCGGAGAAACGGGAAAGGCACGAGGAAACGACGGGGAGCGACGGGGCGACTGATTCAGAGCCTCCGATAAGAAATCCTCCCTCTCCGCTGCAAGCCAGTTCTTGTACTGCGCCTTGGCCTTCGAATGGTTGAGACGTCTCAGCAAAAAAAACGCAAAGCTCGCCAAGTTCGAAAAGACTCTGTCTGTCTGTCAAGCCTCCGCCTCGATGGACTCTGTCTGTCCGTATCCCATGCTCGCGCCTTATTACGATTCCCCAGAAAGTTCCGCTGACGTTCGCTCTCAGCAAGGCTCAATCGACACGACCACGTGTGGAAGGCTTGGTGGCCCCGCTCGTTTTGGCTCGGTTCGGCTCGGTTTGGCTCAGCTCGGTTCGGTTAAGCTCGGAGCTTCTCAGGCGTGCGCAGACGCGCCATCGGAACACACGATAAGGGTGACGAGACGAGGCGAGCCGATGCCTCGACTCCACCGGCGTTCGGCTCGTTCGGCCATGTTGGCAAGCCGGCGACACGGGAACGGCTGACGAGGAGGGTTGTGGTGACGAGACGACGACGACGATAACGGGTGACGAAGAGCGGGCAGTGCATGTGCATGAGCCCGCAAGCAACATCTTTCGCGACTCGGCGCAGGACATGCAGCATTCGCGCCGCGCACATACGGCATGCACAATAGTCTCCGTAAGGGCGTGTAAAATCGCTGCACCTAAAAATTCGGCCACAAGCCGAATGGCCGAATTGGCGAAAGTAACCCGTTTGCGAGTTTCACGAAGACGCTCGCGACCATCGCGAAATTCGCGAATAAAAAACGAAATTGGAGGCCGTTTTGAAAGTCGACTCGAATTCGACACCATGTCGACTCCAATTCGGCCAAGTAGTCGACTCCGTGAGCGACTGTCACGTGCGACGTCGCACAGTCTCGCAGAACGACAGATTATTTTCTCTTGTCGAATCAGAGACTTCGCCGTCATATGTGCGACCCCGTCGCACAAACGTTCCTACTGTAGCACTTGCAAATTTTACAAGTTTTCTGGAGTCGGCCAGCAATTCGGCCTGCAAAGTTGTAAAATTTGCAGACCTGCAAATACTGGTCGACTCTAATTCGGCCATCAGGTCGACATGTGCGAAAGAAGTGTCGACCATTTGGTCGACAAAAACCCGGCCAAACACCATTTTTTAAAATGCACGCCGATTTTACACGCCCTAACTAAGCGAGCATTAGGTTAGGTATTTACTGAGCGAACACCAAATAACTCACTTTACCTAGGCGAGCTTGATTGGGAACCGGGAGGAATGATTATCGCCGTACGTCCGCGATATTCGCGAGCCTCAATCGAGCGGGGAACATATGACTACAGAACAAGTCGGCTCTAGTGACAACAATTACCAAGCAAATACATGCATCACACAAGCCTTGGTCTCTACCTGTCAATTAGACTCGGGTCATGGAAATGGCTAATATTCATCCACTTCACTAATGTAAACTGCAACGGCTTGGCAATCCCAAACTTTTTATGGTAAAACAATGCCCTTACCTTCTTGGGTCCAACATTCTTCCTAGGGCAGCTTTTGAATCCTGGTCGCTTCTTGAAAATAGGAGAACTCTTCATAACGCCCAGATCGTTGCTGTCATAATTGAAGAATTTTGCCGAGCGCGAGGTTACATTGACATGCTGATGCGTATTTAACTTGGGTGTGTTTGGCAGCTTCTCATAGCAGTAACGGTAATTCAACTCCGCATCTTTCACATCGACCAATACCAGGTCGATGTAATTATTCGTGGGCAGCCCGCTGCACTTGCCTGTCTCCGTATCTTTTAGAGTGCCCGGCGCGTTAGTGTTACACTGAACCCCGTTAATGGATGTCTCGCTACAAATGCTCTTCATCCATGGCCATTTCTGGAAGACAGGATTTGAACAAGGTGAAAAGAAATACAGGGATTCCAACCAAACCAAGGAAACAGACTGAACAGTTGTGGGCCTCGCATAGATTGGAAGGATGTGGGCAATCAAACCTATTCAATACAAGGGAACAGTGGAGAAGAGCAATGTTGCCCCAAAGGCTACCGATTGCCTTATAAAGGGTACACAACCCACCTGCTGTAAGGCAGCACAGTTGTAGTACCTGCAGCAGCTGCACAGGGTGCTAAAAGAGTAATGAATTGGCTTGTGGGGGAAAATACCTGCTGAAACGCAGCACTGCTGTAGTACTTGGCTCGCATCCCTGGGACCGCATGCGAGTAATCGTAGCTTTGTTTGTGTTCTCTCTACGTGCATTTTGACAAGGCGAATTGGCAAGAGTTTCACTAGCAAAAGTTGAGAACAATGATATGAATTCCAGACAGTGCTAGCACATGCAGAGTTGGCATATAGGGAGGATAAACATTACCTGCTGAAAAACGGGGCTGTTGTAGTACTTGGCTCGCATGCGGTCCCAATAGTTGCCGGGATCTTTGAGGCAGTTGCAGATGGTGGCTGTGAGACACGCGCACCACCCCGGTGTGCCCTCCGTGCCCTTCATCACCACATGGGAGATGCGGTTCCTGTATGAGGGGAAAAACAGCGCAAAAGGGCAAGGGATGGTAATGCAGTAGGATATAGGGTGACAAAGTAAAGTGGCAAGAAGGCAAGGCACGTGCACCGCCCTGGCGTGCCCTCCGTGCCCTTCATCGCCACGTGGGAGACGCGGTTCCTGACAACAGGGGGAAACGGGACAAGAGGACAAGGGGACAAGGGGACAAGGGGACAAGGGGGACAGACAAGGGGACAAGGGGACAAGGGGACAAGGGGACAAGGGGACAAGGGGGACAGACAAGGGGACAAGGGGACAAGGGGACAAGGGGACATGGGGACAAGGGGACAAGGGGACAAGGGGGACAGGGGGACAAGGGGACAAGGGGACAAGGGGACAAGGGGACAAGGGGGACAGGGGGACAAGGGGACAAGGGGACAAGGGGACAAGGGGACAAGGGGACAAGGGGACAAGGGGACAAGGGGACAAGGGGACAAGGGGACAAGGGGGACAGGGGGACAAGGGGACAAGGGGACAAGGGGACAAGGGGACAAGGGGGACAGGGGGACAAGGGGATAAGAGGACAAGGGGACAAGGGGACAAGGGGACAAGGGGACAAGGGGACAAGGGACAGGGAAAGTGGTAGGATATAGGTTGACACCACCCGGTACAGGTGAAGCAAGGAGGGATACTTGATGCCAATGCATGAAAACGCTCGAGTTAGAGAAGAAGTACCTGAACCATCATTTCCCATTGCCGACTCACCACTCGTCATTGCTGACTCACCATTCCTATTGCTGACTCACCATTCCCCATTGCTGGCTCACCATTTCCCGTTGTTGACCTTCATGCCATCAACCGTCCCGATACAAGCCCCTCCGCGTATAGTCACACCCGAGCTGGCATAGTCCAGGTAGTAGCAGTGGTCACCCCCGATAACGTAGTTGCACTCCGCCAAATTACCCGGGTTAATCCAGTGCGTTACGAAGTATATCCCCGTGGCGTCCCAACCCCCTGTGAGGTTCCGCCCTGCTGCCACAACGAGGTTGTTGGATATGGTGCTGAGCATGCAGTCCCCCTGGAAAGGGGGATTGGAGGGGATGGGATGGGAGGGGAGGGGACGGGCAGGCGTGGGGGGTGTTGGGGTTCCTGCCTGCTGCCACAACGAGGTTGTTGGATATGGTGCTGAGCATGCAGTCGCCCTGAGGAAGAGGAGGGAATGAAGGAAGGGGAAACAAGGGGGGAGGGGAGGAAAGGGGGGGCGAGGGTATAGGGGGAAAGTGGGGAAGAGAGAGAGTGAGAAGGTCGAAGAGGTTTCAATCTGCTGCAACAACGAGGTTGTTAGCGATGGTGCTGAGCATGCAGTCTCCCTGGGAGGGAGGACGGGGGGGGAGAGGAGGGGAGGGGAGGGGAGGGGAGGGGAGGGGAGGGGAGGGAGTGGGAAGTGTTGGGGTTCTGGCCTGCTGCTACAACAAGGTTGTTTGAGATGCATGCAATCAGTGAGCATGCAATCAGTGAGCATGCAATCAGTGAGGATGCAGTGTGTGAGTAACCACGTGAGGAGACAGGCAGGTTCAGCCTCCCTCACGTGCCACACAGCCGCCTTCCCACACCTAAACCTTTCACGCACCATCCCTCACCTGCGAGTGAACCATGTTGCCGCATGTGATTGCAGCAAACACGAAGTCATGCACGTAGTTGTTCCTCACCACTGCTCCCACCGCGCCCACGTGTAACAGCACTGGCATGTACGCGCCTAGAGGGGGAGGGGAGATGGTGGAGAGGGGTGGAAAGTGAGGGAGGGGTGTGATAGAGTGCCCCATGTTGCCACACGTGATGGCAGCAAACACGAAGTCGTGCGTGCACTTGTTCCTCACCAATGTTTGAGTCGTCTCAAAAATAGACTCAAAAATGAGTCGACTCAAAAATAGACAAAAAAATGAGTCTACTCAAAAATAGACTCGAAAATGAGTCGACTCAAAAATTGGCACACGTGATAGCAGCAAACACAAAGTCATGCATGCACTTGTTCCTCACCACCGCGCCCACCATGCCCACGTGTAACAGCACTGGCATGGCATGCACCCCACCCCGTACATCACCTCCTCCTGCCGTAGATCTCATTACTGGTGATGTACACGTGGCAGCGCACCAGCAGCGGCCCAACGTGACAGCAGCGAGCAAGAGGTACCAAACCATACCAAACCGCACCACACCATGGTATTTCTCAAATCCACACACCGTAGATCTCATTATTGGTGATGTACACGTGGCAGCGCACCAGCAGGGGTCCATAACCCGACAGCATCACTCGAATGACTCCGTTGCCCCTCTTGAAGTCCGATACTGCCGTCATCTCCATGCTGTCAATGCGGCTGTGCATCGTTCGCATCACGTCTACCCGCCCAAACGTGTAGCCCTGGGGGGAGGAGGAGGGGGAGAAAGCATTAGTTAGTCAGTTGCCCCTCTTGAAGTCCGACACGGCTGTCATCTCCATAGAGTCGGTGCGGCTGTGCATCATCAGCACCATGTCTACCCGCCCAAACATGTAACCCTGGAGAAGGAGAGGGGGGGAAGTAGTGTGGGCGGGAGTGGTGAGAAGAGGCAGGGGGAGGGAGCAAGCATGACTCCGTTGCCCCTCTTGAAGTCTGACACTGCCGTCATCTCCATGCTGTCGATGCGGCTGTGCATCGTGCGAATCACGTCCACCCGCCCAAACGAGTAGCCCTGGAGAAGGGAGGAAAGGGGGCGCGGGCGGAAGAAGGGGAAGCGGAGAAAGAAGGCACGTAGAGGAAGGATGACTCCGTTGCCCCTCTTGAAGTCGGACACGGCTGTCATCTCCATGCTGTCCATGCGGCTGTGCATCGTCCGCACCTTGTCTACCCGCCCAAACGTGTAGCCCTGAAGGTGCGGGGGAGGGGAGAGGAGGCGAAGTGCCTTTTCAGAAAGTGCCTTGTAAGTCAGACTCATTACAAGTGCGCATCGTGTTCGGACGATTTCCATGGTCGTAACGTAACGAGCAGACTCAGCAGCATGAGGATGAGAGGGCGCCATGGTTGGAACATCATAGGACATTATCAGCCTCTGTACTCATTACTCGCAGACTCACTTTAACGATCTGAACGCCGTAGGAGCGGTAGACGTGGATGAGAGGGCAGATGATGTCTGTTCCCACGTCGGGGATCTCCCTGGGGCATGCGGGCGAGTAGGCTCGGAACGGCTGCGACATCTGCATGTGGGGGAAAAGGGGAGAGAGGAGGGAAGAAAGGAATAAGATGGGGGGAGGAGGTGCGGTATGTGTGGATGAGAGGGCAGATGAAGTCCTTCCGACCTGCGTGCTATGATATCTCCGACCCCGCATGCATGGGACGTAGCATAGCACATCAGCCTCACCTGCACGCGCTGCACAATCACGTTGCTGGTGTTCCACACCCTCAGCAGCGGCTCATCCACCTGATGCACGTACAGCAGGGGAACCTTCTCCCTTTGTTACCTCAAGACCACACTGCATCACTCCAAACTGCACATTACTGCAATGGTGACTGGTCCACATTACCACAGAGCACCGCACAGCATCGCTCTCACCTGCACGCACTGCACAAGGACGTTGCTGGTGTTCCACACCCTCAGCAGCGGCTCATCCACCCGATGCACGTACAGGCAATACCCCCTCCCTCTGTTGCCTAAATACCACTGCACGCCGCACCTCATTCTGCTCTGCAGTACCACACAGCACCACACACCACCGCATACCACATCACCACACCACACAGCACCGTAGAGCACCACTCTCGACCCACCTGCACGCGCTGCACAATCACATTGCTGGTGTTCCAAACTCGCAGCAGCGGCTCATCCACCCGATGTACGTACAGCCGATACCCCCTCCCTTTGGCCCCGCCTCCCGATCGCAGCACTGTGCACGCATACTCTGGCCCGAACAGCAGCCCTCGCTTCAAAGTGACGTGGTTCTGAAGCTCGAGAATGACTGTGGTGGAGGGGGCGTGCCTGGTGCGCTTGGTGAAATCGGACTCCTTGGTCACTCGGATGTGCACGGCTGAGGCGAGGGGGGAGCACGCTGATCCGCCTGCAGGGGGTAGAGGGGGTCAGTATGAGCATGTGTATATCGCCATGTACCCGTGTGCATTTATCAGCATGTATCCGCGTTTTGCATTTATCAGCATGTATCCGCCGCATGCATGGATCAGCAGTATGAGTATATATCAGCATTTAACATGGGCAAAGACAAGGAGCATGAGACGCGACTTCCAGTGGAGTGGATATGGCCCAATTGGGGGGTCGTGTGTTGGTGGGGGGACATGTTGGGGTGGGGAGAGTGGGGAGAAAGGGCAGGTCCGTTGGGAGGGTGCCAGGAAACCACTACGGAGCAGAGCAGCAGCGCAAGCATACTTGCACCCTTCCGAGAACGTACACATGCGATGTACTGAGTTGTTGACGTGCTGCTGTAAATCCTGCCATTCCAACCTTGCACAGTAAAGATGGTGGTTTTGAGAACTCTCGGGGTGTGTGTGAAACACGAACGGACAACTTTCAGCCCAGGGGCCGATTTGAGGCTCACCTTGCCTAGAAGCAACAGCAGCGGCAGGAACCGAAGCAACGCCAGAAGTGTGAGGTTCGGCAGCAGAGCCAGGCTCGGCAGCAAGCAACGCTGCAGGTACGGGACGAGCCTCCTGCGCCATGGATGCGTCCAACCAAGCCATCACTGCAGGCTCGGACCGAACCTGCTGCTTCAGCCACGGATTCATCCACTCCTGAGGCTCGGCCCATCGCAAAAGCTGTGACTGTGCCTGTTCCTGTGCCTGTGCATGTAATTGCGAATGTGTGTGTGCGTGGCGTGGTTGTGTTTGCACGGATCGTGGACTGTCCGTAGCGGATCCGTAACCATCCTCGTTACTGGCTGAACTCGCGAATTCGGTATAATTGTTATTCCGATGCCATAGACCATGCGGATGCAGGTGGTACAGCGACGGATGGCGGGATGGGTCATGAAATGCGAACCTGTGAGCTGTGGTGAGGGCAAGGAGGGAAACGAAGGCGGAGGAGGGGAAATGAAGGGATGAACAAGAGTAATCCGAGATGAGCATTCTAGCTGCCTTTCGAAAACCTCTCGCATCCTCTTCAAACATCGCCTTCTTAAAATCCTCCGCACCTCCTTTCCCCCCATCCCCAACCTCCTCCCCCCCCTCCCTCCCCTCCCCCCCCTCTCCCCCCTCCCCCTCCCTCCCGCGTTAAACTCTCTTCTCTAAACTCTGCTCGGAATCTGAGATCAGCATCTGGCCATTCACCTGCGACTCGGGCTGGCGCTATATCCGAACGCTGAGTAACAATGCAGAGCGCGAGAACGATCGCAAGAAGGCCCAGCCTCGATATAATCACTTTCGATATCGGCTTTGTCCACGGCACTCCCCTCCGGAAGTAGCGCTCATGGCGTTGTGATAACAACCTTCTCCGCCGCCTCGTGCGAACCAGGCGAGGAGAGCCGCGATATGTGTTACCAGACGAATCTTCATCGCCAACCGTCCGATCATGACGGCCCCTGGATTCAATTTGAAGTCGCTTCTTGCTACCACTGCTACGCGTTGAGCGACTGGGTACGCTTCTGGGTCGGCCAATCATCTCAGTCTGGTTGTAGGGACCGAGCCTGATAAACTGACTCGAATTCCGACCGTTTTGAGACGAGCGATTACAGTTCACCCCAAGCCTGGTAACAGTTGGTTGACTGATAACAACGAATGCAGGCTGGCTGCTGGCTCGCTCGAATTCAGCGCATTCGCTCGTGTAAACGGCTTCGCCGGGTCTAACTCAGGCGGATTTTGGCTTGCATAATGCTTTTCGCTTTTGTTGGCACGAGCTCTCGTTCGAAGAATCTAACGGTCAATAACGTCTAAAGATGCCGCGTCGTGCGCCAACTGCGAGTCTAGCATGACGTACGACTCAGCGAAATCAGCCATTCCTTCTGAGTCGACTCAAAAGTCACCTTGTTTGAGGAGGTTTCTGCTCGTAGCTTTGGTCGGGACTCTAATGAAGGAGAGGTTACTAGTCGTCGTCTTTCTCGCTCCACACCATCCACACAAGGCCAGTCGAACAAGGGCTTCATGGAGTTCGCCCCTTGGTTCAGGAGGTTTGACGAGGAATAAATGTGGGGCATTGTTCCAAGAAAAGCGTGCTGAAACGAGCTGCAGCGCGACAGGTGCGTGTGTTTGTGTCTGTTTGTGTCTGTGTGTGTGTCGGCTTTGGAACAGCATAGAATGGCCACCATAGGTATGTTGTTCCCAAGAATGAATCACAAATCCTGTTTGGTGGGACGAAACCCACAACACACACACCTCCACCATGGCATAATGTGATCCACCAACAGGCGAACGCTTGATTGTCACCCGAGCTTTAGCTACCCCATGCGACAGAGCGAACTTCCATTTCGTGTACGTGTGCGAAAACCGTTCGCGGTGCCAAAACTTGTGGATCTGGTGTACACGAATATTAACGACCTGCTCTCGATCGTCATTTCTCGCTGAGCACCACACGTGATTGCTCCCGACCGGACCGAGCGATGCAAGCACCACAAGTGGCTTTGCAGGTTGATCGGGGTCGGAGGGCCGCACCTGCTGTTGGTTTGGTGACTATTTCCAGCCAAAAACCTCGGCCAGCTCCCTGCAGCGATTGCGGTGCGGGCAGGGGTGGTGGGGTGGGCCCGTGGTGTCCTGTGGCTTGCCTTGTTGCGAACCACCACGAGCACGCAACACATACAGTATATAATCCTTGATTATACATACTGCACAACCACCACTCCTGAACAGCTTACAAGTGCCAAACCTTGGAGACGTCCAGCACTAGAGCACAAATAGCAAAAAAACAAGACACAAACCTACCCTGCCTATGTATTCAACCACAAAAGATTTTACTTCTCAACCTCCACCATAACCATCCACATTCATGGGGCAAGCAAGCTGAATCCTTCTGCTTCTGATGTCCTCGATGCTGCTGAAGAATGATAACGTCCATGGAGCACGTGGGATTGCTCGCTGAATCACTCTGCTTCCAATACTGATTGAATGCACAAGACACAACAGGGGTATGGGCTACGACACAGGCCAATATACTTCTCCATTTTTCAATGGGCAAGGCCATCCGCGATAAAAGGTGCGGGCCAACCTGCTCATAGACTTGCAGGTTAGCATGGCCAACGAAATACAACATTGGACTGGAAAACTCGCTACTCAATGTCAAGAAAATCCATCTGCTTCCGCAACATTCCCTTGAGCTCGGATGCTTCTTTTTCCTCTTTCTGGGCCTACAAAGAGCAAGGGAGGAGACTCCGTGTCATGCAAACAATACACCAGAACTTAATGCAGCAAGAAGATTATGACGGCTTCACATACCTGTCGAATCTGTTGTAACGAAACGGAAACCATATTAGGAGGCATTTCTGGCATGTGCTCGTCCTGAAAACAAGGCATAAATCACACAATCAGCAAAATAACTTTAACAAAGAACGAATGACAAAGAGCCGCATGAATCAGACCAACTTACAAGTGTGCCTATGAGAACGACATTCTCTCCTCGGATAATGTACAGTCCCAGAGGCAGGTCGCAGTATTGCTCGCCGACAACAATCCGCTCCGTAGTACGCTCCAGGACGAGATTAGCTGCTCACAAAAACCAGCAACATCGATACGGTCGGTGGAACTGCATACGAGTGCGTAAGCTTCGGAATGACCTGAGTGCCACGTACCGAATTGGTCGAAAGAGCGCAGGATACCAATTATTTTACGTCCATCTCTAAGAACAACGAGTAGCTTCTCTGCCATTACGAACGCAAAAAATCGTCAATCACGAATTTCCGTGAGGTGGAATTATCGGCCGACGCAAGGTGCTTACTGTCTAGCTCCTCAACAAGGCTCGACGTCCCAGGCAGAAATGGCAACCCGGCCCACGACATGCCCAGGAGTTGTCGCCGCCGCTACGATCCGTGGCTGATTACTTCAGCCGCAAACTATGTGAACGGCAACCATTGAGCGAGGGGAGATTAGTGGGCAAACTCGTAAGCGACACGGCTCGCGGGTAACAAACAGGAGAAGATCACAAGAACCCTAGTTTCGGATTGCCAAACATAAGGAAGGCTTTGAGGGTGAACTTTGCATTTGAAGCTGGTACAGTAAATAACAAAGTGAAATGAATATATTTGTGGAATTTCAAGTAGAGATAGTGCTTTTCAAACCAAACCAAAAACCTTTATGGTAACTGTATGAACGAATATTGAATACATGTTACGCACAAAGATTGTACACATACGTAACTATGGATACCCAACAGACAGAAAGTGGACCAGGAAGGCACCAAATGCTACAACCATCAGAGCTACAATGTATGATACCCCAAGTTCAATTCCTCTAGTGCCTGTCCTAAAATGAACCCACAAGTTCATAGAGTTTCCAGGAGGTTCCATTCTTATCACAACACAATCATCACCACATTCACTTGCTGATGCCTGCAGCCATGCCTGAACTGCAAATCTGGCTGCACAAACACGAGAGCCCCCACATACAGCCTCAGATAACGATGCAGCATAGGAAGAGGCTGCTGATGTATGGTGGTGCACAGCCCCCTTCATGATAGCCAGAGACACTGGAGAATAATCCCTGAAGAAAAAAAAGTGCATGGTGAGTAAAATTTAAGAACAATTATACGTCTGCCGATATTAATGTGCAAAATCTTACCCAGGCATGCCCATCCCAGAAACGAAGGCCGCGACCAAACTGACGGACAGCAGCAGCACAACGACACACAGAAGCACCGGCTCACGGATCCAGATAGGAGTTCCACGAAACCTCCCGTTGAAGGCCTGCAGTGCTGCTACGACCACGCTTATGAGCCCCTGTGCTGCCCTATGTAGCGTTGTCGCCACGCAGGAGAATGCTATCCGCACGTCTGATGCAACGGAATATGGTCTTGAGCTAGGAGGTGATATTCTAAATGAAAATGGAACGGATTCTCGAAAGTCTGAAGCATGCACTGGGCTGGCCATGCCAACAGAATCAGGATAATCCAGAAGGATCACTGGGGCTCCACAATGGGGAGACGATTATTATTGCTGGAAAGATACTGGAACGAGGCCCTCGAGGGAGCCTAGTGTATCTTTTTGTAAAAAAATAATGCTGGGAGGAGACTTGAAAGGAGGCGCGATAATTCAGGCACTCATCATGATTCGCGAGTACGTATGAACCGCCCGCCGTCTATCCGGCCTCCAGATTTGCAGCTTACGCCTAAAGTCCACGAGTCTAAGCGCTCGCAGAAGAACGTCGTTTGTGCGTGCATAACCATTTCCCAAGCCATTGTTCAGCTCCCAAGAACCACCAAATGCCGCCCTTGGCTGACGACACTCGGATTCGTAAACTGCGGAACTGCAAGCACGCATACAGACGCGAGAAGAGGTGCGATAAGGATGACGCCCCCGTGGCGGAAGGGCTACTAATTGGGGCACCTAGGATGGATGTTTGACTAGTGCTGCATCTCTTCTCCGGCTTTTTGCTGACGCCATTGAATTCAAAGCAAATCCAAAAATGAACATCCCACTGTAACTCAATATTGCGTATCTCGTGCTTGGATAAGTGAGCCCAACATGCTGGTATAAGTTATTGCGTTCTCTAAACAATCATCAAAAGGACAGCACACACCACCGAGACTCCCGCCATTATCAGCTCAGCCGAGGTCAGAAGGTCTGACGGATTTGAAAACATTCCCGCCAAATTCCTGAACCAGGTCCCTAGGGCCTGCCTGCCACCAATCAAAGCAAACCACTGGAGGCATTTCCTGTTCTCTGGAGACCCGAGGTTTTCAGATTCTCCGCGACTCGCTGGACACTTGTGCCTGGTTCCCGAGATGGCACGGTTTCAATTGGTTCAATTTGATTTACCCTGTTTCAGTACGGCAGTCCCCAGGTTCTCTCTCTGGCTGATCAAACTTGCAAGCAGGTCGGGCATTCGGCAAGTATATCTGGAAAATACAGCGTGGTTAGTCAACTCGTCGTCACCGTCTTCGGCCTCAGCCTCAGGCTGTGATTTTCTTTCATCAGGTATCAATTGCAAAAATACCAAGGGCTGGACTACCACGTACGCGTAGAAGGGAGTAGCGTTGCACCTCTCGTGCAGGACATTAGAACAGACTAGCTTAATCAAAGAAGAACACCCCGTAGTCGTGTCCTCGAAAAAGTTCCGTAACCATGGAGTTTAGGATTCCGAAAAATCTAGATGACCTCGAGCAGAATGTCGACGAGTCCTCAGGGTGTCTCCATGTCACGGATGTAGCAGAAGCGGCGATCGAGCCCAACCTCGTCAGAGGTACTAATTTTCTCTTAAAGCTGACAACATGGATCTTCCACCTTCACAGACTCAATACTTTCTTTCCAGCTACTTTTTAGGGTGGTAATTTGCTATGAATGGTTATTCTGACGGTATTGCGGCATTTTTCTTGCAGAAATCTCCCGTGAGCTCGGGGAGAAGGATCTCTTTTGTGTGCAGGAGCAAGAGACATTCAACAAACTATACTCGGCTGTCAAGTATGCCACCTAGGCAGAGTAGATAAAACAGGCCACACGCATCCGTTTCTTTCTGACTAACTTTGTATCAGCTTCCAAACCAGCTTCCTCCGTCAACTCTTAACCCGTTCCTAATGAATCAGCAGAACATCTCCGACGCTATCGTGTTCATATCTCCTCTTTCGCACTCCACCGTAAAATCTCTGCAGGTGCTTTGACCAGCTGGATGCCTCGTCCAAGGACCTTCTTATTGACTCCTTGGCAACGAATCTTAGCTGCCTCGTTCCATCCATCGCATCATTCCTCGCGTCGTCTTCCGGCAACTCCTCCACGTCAGCGGCTGATGCTGACGTGTCCACCTCAGGGCCGTCCATCAGATCCTACAAAAATTGCATCAAGATTTACAGTTACTTTCTCGCATGTATCGTCAAGCACGCAGCTCTCGCCAAGGCGACGGATAATGCCGACCGCCCTGCTCAAAAGGTAAGGCAGGCTTAGTCTGGAATCGTAGGGCTGCCTTGGTCTCAAGTTGTTGAGATCTTACACGAGGATCGAACTGACCCCAAAATCAACAATAATCTGCACGTGTTCGTCCTTGTTCCTTGTTCCTTACTTGTTCCCTCCTTGTTCCGTCCTCGTTCCTTTTTCTCATTCGTCTCCTCAGGGGGGTCGTCAATCGCGGAGGAAGGCGGTGGTATCGCACTCGTGGGAGTGGCAGCGCCAGATGCCCAAGGTGCTCAAGGCGCTCGCTACAGCCACATCCGTTAAGCTCGCCTCTCTCTACCACGGCTCCGCGCCGGAGGAGAGCCTTATGGAAGCTTACTGCAGTCTGGCGTTCACGCTCTTTGAAGATGCCGAATTGCTCAAGAACGGGGATGTGCGCGCGCCGCTCGTGCAGATCGTGGCGCAGTGCGCCGTGAAACAGGGGTACTTGGTGCAGGTGGTATCTGGCCTGCTGCATCTGCTGCACCACCAGAAGCACTCCCCCGATATAGTCACGGACGTAGTGGTGTACGCGGATGAGCAGCTGGGGCAGGCGAGCCTGGCGGCGGCGGTTCTGCAGGACGTGGGGAGGACGGGGCTGAAGGAGTATAGCCGCGCGAACAGCGGCGTGCACGAGGTGAGTCGGGGCTCGGATGAATTAGGTGTGCGTCCTTAGGTACCTCAATGGTTCTGCAGGACATGGGGAGGACGGGGCTGAAGCAGTGCAGCCGCGCGAATAGCGGCGTGCACGAGGTGAGTCCGCGGGTTCATTGAATGAGGTGTTCGCCCTTCGAGATCCCTCGGGTGGTGGAGCTCCTCGTCGTTCCATCCAACAAGCAGCCTCCCCTGCTCGCCACCTCATTTCTCTATCTGTCGTCAGCCACCCAAACACGCGAACCACCTTCCCCATGCTCCCCGTTATTTTCATTTCTTTCCTGTCCCCTGTCTCTCTTGTACATCAGGTGGCGGAGTTCCTCGTCGCCCTCTCCAACAAGCAGCCTCGCCTGCTCGCCGCCTCCCTGCCGCTGCTAGTGCCGCACCTCGAGCACGGGGAGTCCGCCGTGCTCCGCTGCGCCATCGTCACCGCCATCAGCCGCCTCCTTGCGCGCCTCTACTCCGCCGACGCTGGCGCAGCGCCTGGCGGAGCGGGGTCCGCGGAAGGAGACGGGGGCGCGGTGGAGGAAGCGGAAGGGGACGAGGACGGGGAGGGCGGAAGGGATTCCGCGGGTGGCGCGGAGGAGGAAGGCCCCGCGGCGAGGGGCGCGATGCGCGCGCGGTTGCAGCGGCTGCGGAGCAAGCAGGGGCTACTGGCGGTGCTGATGGAGCGCGCGCGCGACCAGTCCGCGCACGTGCGCAGCCGCGTGATGCAGGCGTGGGCGTGGCTGTGCGGGGAGAAGGCGGTGCCTCTGGGGCACTGGAACGCGGTGGCAGAGCTGGCGGTGGGACGGCTGGAGGACAAGTCGTCGCTTGTGCGGAAGAACGCCCTGCAGGTGAGAGGGGGAGGGGGAGGGGGGGGTCGTTAGACGGGAGGAGGTAAGTTGATGCCTCCACATCTGTGTGCGTAATCACAGCTGTGCATGGGTGTGTTGGCCTTCCGCCCTTCGACCCCCACTCTTCCAAGGGCCCCCTTTGAGGTCACCGTGGTGTATGCTCGTGCCGCTCATGATAGTCATGCCCTTTCCACCATTGTCCAACACTCCCAACCCCTCTCAACAGCTCCTGGGGGAGATACTTCATCAGAACCCGTTCGGCCCGAGTTTGCGAGTGGCCCCCTTCGAGGTCACCCTGGAGAAGGCTCGTGTCACTCATGGTCCCACACACTCTCTCCACCACTCCCAACCCCTCTCAACAGCTCTTGGGCGAGATGCTTCACCAGAACCCGTTCGGCCCGAGCTTGCGGGTAGCACCCTTTGAGGTCACCCTGGAGAAGGCGCGTGCCGAGCTGGCAGCCATGGAGGAGAGCCGCCGGCGCGCTGAAGAGCAGGAGGCCAGGGAGGGAGGCGAGGGCGACGGTGATGGAGAGGGTGAGGGCGAGGGCGAGGGGATGGAGGGTGCAGGAAATGACGGGGCAGCAGCAGCGGGTGCAGCAGTGGAAGTGGGGATGGTGGGGGAATCCGGAGGAGTGGGTGATGATAGCTGGGTGGACTCCCAGGCCACCCAGGGGGACGGGGAGGGGGAGGGAAGCAAAGCAGGAGGCGCTGCTGGTGCTGCTACTGCAGAGAGACTTCCAGACGAATCTGCTGGGGCAACAGGCGCGGCAGGAGCAACAGGTGCGGCAGGTGCAGCAGGTGCAGCAGGGAAGGCGGTGCTGGGGCGGTCGTTCGGGGTGGAGCAGACGCGCACGCTGGTGGCGTCGCTGAGCGCGGGGCTGCAGTTCTGCCGCCTGCTGGCGGCCGTCACGGGCGCGCTGGCGGCGCTGCTGGGGTCGAGCGCTGTGTCGGACGTGGAGGGCGCGATTCTGCAGCTCACGGCGCTGCAGCACTTCCGCGTGGATGGGGCCAGCGAGAGGCTCAAGAAGATCCTGCCTCTGGTGAGATATGAGCGTAGCGAAAGGTAGGGGAGTTGATGGGGTGGGGGTTAGGGGTAGGGCGAGGAAGGGTGGAGTGGGGAAAGATGGTTGGAGGAAGAGGGGATGGCATGAGGGGGGATGCTGGCGGGCCTGCTGGGGTCGAGCGCCGTGTGGGACGTGGAGGGCGCGATCCTGCTGCTTGCGCTGCAGCACTTCCGCGTGGATGGGGCGAGCGAGAGGCTCAAGAAGATCCTGCCTCTGGTGAGATATGGGCTAGGGGGGAAGGGAGTGTATGGGGTGGTGATTGGATGGGTTGACTGGTTGGAAAGGGTATAGCGGCTCAGGATGATCCTGCTGCTGGTGAGATGAAGTGGGGTGGGGAAGGCAGCTGACAGTCCCCTCCACCTCTGCCCTCCCTGGCCTTCCTAACCCTGTCGGTTCGCCCCTCCCCTCTCTTTCCCAATCTCTCTTTCCACTCAGGTATTCTCGCACGACCCAGCAGTGCGAGCAGCGGTGGAGGCAGCGGTGCTGGAGCTGCACGTGAAGGGGCGGTCAGCGCAGAAGGCAGCGCGCAGCCTCGTGGCTCTCACGCACGGCGCCTCTTCTGGCGACCTGGCGGCACTGGAAGTGCTGGTGGGCACGTTCGTGCACAACGGAGACGTCACCATGCAGATGGTGAGTGAGACGAGCGGATGCACTTGTGAATTTCTTCAAAGCTCAGGCTATCCATGCTCTTTTGAGGAGCCAAGAGACTCTTCTGGCGACCTGGTGGCGCTGGAGGTGCTGGTGGGCACGTTCGTGGACAATGGAGATGTCACCATGCAGATGGTGAGATGGAAGGAGGAGCATTGGGGCAAAGGGTGTGATAGAGAGGGATGACTGTGGGGGTGGTGATAGACTAAGGCAACAACAGCTTGTTCTAGGGAGCTGCAGCTCTTTTGATTCCTATCACCCCTGGCTCTTGGCTTATGTTGCCGTTTCTGTTTGACATCGCATTGTGTAGTCATCCCTGCCCATATTTTTCCAAACCCTTCAAATTCTTCTCTCTTTCCTCCTCTCCCCTCTCACCCATACCCTCCACCAGGTGACCATCCTTTGGGACATATTCACTTTTAACCTGCCAGGAGCCACGTCAGCAGAGAGCACTGGCGCGCTCATCCTCCTCTCCATGGCCGCAAAAACCCGCCCGGAAATCCTCAACCACCATTTGAGCGCGCTTCTAGCCATAGGCCTAGGCAGGCGCGCTCAGAGCGACCCCCTGCTCGCTCTCTACACCTGCATCGCGCTGCAAAGGGTTTCTGAGGAGGTTAGGGAGGCGATGGGGGCGGGGCACCGGGTATTCGCGCTGCTCGAGGGGGTTATTTCGGGTAGTTCGCTGGAGTTACCTGAAAAGGCGAGGTACGGGGTGATGGAGCAGGCGGTAAGGGCGGTTTATGTGCTGCATCCTGCGCCCGAGAGGTACTGTGGTGTGCTGCTGAAGAAGCTTGTAAAGGGGATGTTTGGACGGGGTGTTGCTGTGGGGGCTGGAGGAGGGGGAGGTGGGGAAGGAGGGGAGGGTGAGGGGAGGGAGGGTAGTTGCGTGAGTGGTGTTGTGGACGGTAGTGGGGAGGCTGGAAACGAGGACAAAGATAGTGAAGGAGGAATGAGAGGGGAAGAGGGAATGACAAGCAGCAATGGGGATGGCAAGGATGTTGAGTCTGCTGCTGATGCTGCTCCTAATGCTGATGCTGATGCTGATGCCCCTGCCACTGGTCCAAGTGGTGCTGATGATGGTGCTGACAGTGCTGGTCTCCCTGCTTCTGCTTCAACTGCTGCTGCTTCCGCTGCTGCTGCAGCTACAGCTGCTGGTGGGAGTGAGAGGGGCTTTGAGACCTCCCTTAAAAGATTCGACGCTGCAAAGCTTTCAACCGTTGTTTTTGTGACCGGGCAGGCTGCCCTAGAGCACCTGGTCCACGTGGAACGACTCGTGCGCCGCATCCGGGCAGCCCGGGCAGCGAAGGAAAAAGCCGCGGCTGAGGCAGCAGCTGAAGCCGTGGAGGCCAGCCTGACCGGGAAAAAAACAAAGACAGGCAGGAAGAGCACAGGCCGGAAGAGTAGAGTCTCTGCAGCAGGGAAGAGGAGAAGCGTCGCTGCCACCCGTGCTGCGTATGAGTACGAGAGTGACGAGGAGGAGGTGGGCGTGGAGGGTGTGGATGTGAGGGAGGAGGAAGAGGAGCATTCGGGTGACGGAGGGGAGAGCGGGGGAACGGAGGATAAAATGGGGGAGGAGCTGGGGACGGCAGTGACAGCAGAGGCGCAGCTAGAGGCGCTGCAGGAGCAGGTGGAGGGGGAGATCGTGGCCATGGAAAAGGGGCTGGAGAGGAGGCGGGGCGACGGGAGGGAGTTCCTGGTGGGGCGGGTAGCGTGGTTTGTCTCGGCGCTGTGCCGGCGGCCTCAGGCCTTTGCAGCGAGTCAGGGCGTGTATGTGTGTGCTGTGCTGTCGCTGTCCAAGCTCATGGCCATCGACAGCCACTTCTGGTAAGTCTCCCTTGATTTACCTTCACTCACCTTGACCTAGCTTGTCTCACATTGACTCACATTGACTCATCTTGACTCAGCTTGACTCCCCCCCACCTTGACTCACCTTCATTCACTCTTGATTGTCTTGACTACCCATAACGCACCTTGACTCACCCCCTCTCCTACCATCTCCCTCTTCCTTCCCCACCCGCAGCGAGTCCCACCTGCAGCTACTCTTCACACTCCTCCGCACCCATCCGCACCCCTCTGTGCGCGCCAACGCCATGGTGGCCCTGGGCGACCTCGCTCTGCGCTGCCCCAACCTGCTGCAGCCGTGGACGCCCCACGCGTACACCGCTCTCAGTGATGGGGACGCGTTCGTGAGGCGTCAGGCGCTCTTAGTGCTCTCGCACCTCATCCTCAACGACATGATGAAGGTGGGTCATTATTGTGATGATGGTTGGACTTCACAACAGTGAATGTGAGACGTTATGCGTCACTGGTACTGCTGGTGCTCTCGCATCTCATCCTCAACGACATGATGAAGGTGGGTCGTCATCATGGTATCAGGATCAGCACGCCGTTCTCCTATGGCGTCCCTCCCCATCCTAATCCTTTCCCTCCCCTTTCCCCCCCCCTCTCCTCCACCACCCTCGTCATCGTGTCAGGCTGGTTACACTGTTCCCACATCTGCTCTCATTTCCCCTTCCTCTCCCTCTCCCATTTCTCCCCTTCCCCCCACATTCTCGTCCCTGCACGTCAGGTGAAGGGCACATCAGCAGCCTGGCGGTGTGTCTGGAGGACCCTTTCCTTCTCATATCTCCCCTTATCTTCCCCTCCTTTGCTCTTATTTCTCACTTCCGCACTCCTCCACGTCGCCCTTCTCTCCCCGCACGTCAGGTGAAGGGCCACATCAGCAGCCTGGCGGTGTGTCTGGAGGACCCTGAGCCGCGCAACGCGGACCTCGCCCGCCTCTTCTTCCACGAGCTCTCCAAAAAGGGTGAGCCACGCCCGCCACTCTCCACTCTCTCCACTCTACTCTCTGTGCCTGTCACCTCATTCGCCTCTTCTTCCACGAGCTCTCCAAAAAGGGTGAGACACGCCCTCCACTATCCGCTCCCTGCCTGCCCTGCCTGCTCTATCTCCGCCCCTCCATCATCACCCGTCGCCATATTGCCCCTTCCCTGGTTACTGTCTCTCTCGATCATGCACTTCTGCCCTTGCCATAGCGGCAAGGAGCCCATCGACGAGCTCAGCACCCCTTCTCCAACCCCGCTCCCTCCCTCCCTCCCTCCCTCCCTCCCTCCCTCCCTCCCTCCCTCCCTCCCTCCCTCCCTCCCTCCCTCCCTCCCTCCCTCCCTCCCTCCCTCCCTCCCTCCCTCCCTCCCTCCCTCCCTCCCTCCTCCCTCCCTCCCTCGCTCCCTCCCTCCCTCCCTCCCTCCCTCCCTCCCTCCCTCCCTCCCTCCCTCCCTCCCTCCCTCCCTCCCTCCCTCCCTCCCTCCCTCCCTCCCTCCCCCCCCACCCTCACCTCTTATGCTCTCCCCACCAGGCTCCTTGCTCGTGTACAATCAGCTGCACAACATGCTGAGCCACATGGCTGTGGACGTATGCCTCACAGAAGGAGCAAGGCCAAATTACAGATTCACTCCACCCTATTACACCCCATCCCACTCCATCCCTTCCCTTCCACCCCACCATCCCCTCGTATGCTGTTTCCTCCAGGCTCCTCCCTCGTGTACAACCTGCTCCCCGACATGCTGAGCCACATTGCGGTGAACCCGCGCCTGTCAGAGGGGGCGGGGCCCCTTCTCTGGCTCACCCTCCACCCCACACCACCCTCCCCCTTCTCTGCTGTCCCCCCAGGCTCCTCGCTGGTGTACAACCTCCTGCCCGACATGCTGAGCCACATGGCGGTGAACCCACGCCTGTCAGAGCCCTCGCTGCACGCCATCATGCGCTTCCTCATTGCCTTCATAGACAAGGACAAGCAGCGCGAGGGGCTCATCGACAAGCTCTGCCACCGCTTCACCAACGCCCACCCTGCCTCCTCCTCTGCCTCCTCAGCTGGTGCTCCTTCTGCTCCTGCTGCTACTGCTGCTGACCCTGCTGCTGACCCTGCTGCTGCTGCTTCAGCTGCTATGGCAGATGTTCCTGCTGACGCGGCCGCCAGTGCTGCTGCTGGGGATTCTGCGTCTGCTGTTCCTGCCGCTGCCACTGCTGACAATGCAGCCTCTGTTACTGCTGCTTCTGGGGAAGGCATCAGTTCCAACGCCAGCAGTGCCAGTAGTAGCAGCAGCAGGGGGGGCAGGGATGGGAGGGTGCAGCAGCAGCGCATGGTGGCGTTCTGCCTCTCCCTGCTGCCAATCTCCGAGCGTGGGGCACGGCGGCTGATGGACAACTACAAGGACTTGAAGGACGCGCTGGGGGACGCTGCTGTGCTGGAGTACCTTAAAACTGCCACTGGCAAGGTGCGTGGGCTCTGTGAGTCTGTGGCCTTCGTGGTTCCCTGTCTTGTGAGTGGGTTCGGGGGGCTGTGGTGGTGAACTAGCGTCGGCTGATGGGCAGCTACAAGGATATGAAGGACGCCCTGGGGGACGCTGCTGTGCTGGAGTTGCTCAAGTCCGCCACTGGCAAGGTGCGTGGGTTCTGTGAATGCGTTGCTGGAGTGCCTTGGATCTGCCAGTGTTAAGATGAGAGGACTCTGTGGGTTTGCGGATGGGGGATGGGCGATGGGAGATGGGCGATGGGAGATGGAGCACCAGCAGAGAAGGTGGAGGGAAGGAGTGAGGTAATGGCAGGGTAGTTTTTGCGGGAATATCTTCCCTGCATCTTATGAGCCCTGAAGTAGAGAATAAAAGCAGCCCCTGTTCCCCACCTTCCCCACTCCATTCCTCTATCCCCACCTCCCCCACTCCATTCCTCTATTCCCACCAGACAAAGAAGTTTGCGAAGCCAGAGCTGAGGGAGGAGCTGGAGAGGTTTGAGGAGCTGATGGGGAGGACGCACGAGGAGAAGCGGGAGGAGGAGGAGGCGTCTGCTGCTGCTGCTGCTGCCATCGCTGCCAAGGCTGCCAAAACGGCTGCGAAAGCCGCTGCCAGGGAGGCTGCTAGGGTGGCTGCTGAAGAGTCTTCGGAGCAGCCTGCTGAGGGGGCTGCTGAGCAGCCTGCGGATGATGGTTCTGGAGATGCGGAGAGTGATGGTCCTGGTGAACAGAAGCGGGAGAGTTTATGGAGTGTGATAGTAGGTTGGAGGGGAGTCAGGGGGGGAGTGAGGAGGAGGATGAAGAGGTGGAGGAGGTGGGGGATGAAAGTGCTGGGGAGGAGGAGGCAGTGGGTGCCCAGGAGGCGGAGGCAGAAGAGGACGAAGGGAGGGCGATGAGTGTGCGGAGGAGCAGCCGTGGTGGTGGTGGGAGGAGCAGTGTGAGTAGTGTGGAGGTTTTGAACGGAGCAGGGAGGGTGTGGGGTGGGGCAAGGGAGGAGGGGGAGAGGAGAGAGAGTGGGGGCAGCAGCGGGAGGAAGAGCAGGAGCAGCATGAAGGGTGGGAGGGCTGCGGGGGTTGGTGGTGGGCGGAGGAGGAAGCTGGTTGCATGGAGCAGCGGTGAGGAGGAGAGTGGAGAGGAGGATGAGGAGGAGAGTGTAGAAGCGAGTGAGGAGGAAGTGGAGGAGGTGGTGGTGCAAAGGAGTGCAGGGCGTAGGGGGCAGCGAAGGAATCAGAGGAGGGCTAGTGGGCTGGAAGCAGAAGAATCAGAGGAAGGGGATGGAGCAAGAGGAGCGGAGGAGGTAGAGGACGAGAGTGAGGGTGTTGAGGAAGAGAGTGACGGTGGGGAGGAGGGGAGTGAAATAGAAGCGAGTGAGGAGGGGAGTGAGGGAGGAGATGAGAGGTACGAGAGGGATGACTTGGGTGTTGACGAAGTGGATGGGGAGGGGGGATTTGATGAGGATGGGGAAGGGGAGGAGGCGGAGGGGTATGAGGAGGATGAGGAGGAAGGGAAGGAGGAAGATGGAGAGAAGGGCATTGCAGCAGATAAGACCCAGGCGTTTCAGGTTGAACTGCGGCCTGTTGGAGAGAGGAAGCTTCCTGGAAGGCAGGGTGGCTGTGAGGAAAGGAATGGTAACCATTGCGGGATCGAGAACATTGTCCTGAGGCCTGTGGGCGAGAGGAAGGGCAGGGGGAGGGGGCAGAGGAGAGCGGTAGTGGATAGTGACAGTGACGGGAGTGATAGTGATGGAGGGGTTGTGACTGAAGGGGGAGGGACGGCCATGAGGCGGTTGAAGAACAGGCGGGCTGCACTGCTTGGGAGTGAGAAGTGAAGGGGAGATGGACATGTGTGGGAGGAAATCGCTTGGAAGGAGGAATCCTGCCACCCCCAGGTGAGCATAGGCTCGTTTTTTAAGTCTGCTGACATCTTTGAGTGGAGATGAGTCTTCGATATCCATGAGCAGATGGCCTTACTTGCTTACTCATTGTCTTGTTTTCTTTTCTGTGGATGCAGAAACCCATTGCGCCCAATTGCCAACAAACACTTATGATGGGCATGTCCTGCAACCCACCGCTGGTCCATCCATGCAGGGTAATAAGGAACAAATATTTTGGATTTCATGTTTTTATTCCTCTTCAACTCGAGCATTCACATAACTACATATAATGTAACCGAGATAGCAAAACATATTGTTGTCAAACTATGCATATTGTGTTTGTGTAGGCTGCTAGTGGGGTAGCCCATATGGGGTACAACCCAATGTTAGGGTTAGCTTATGTACCCAACTCTTGATCAATGCATTCATTCTTGTCTCTAGATTCTAACATGGTTTCAGAGCAGTAGGTCCGTAGGACCGTTTTTTTTTTCGGGCCCACCTACCGCTACCCCACGCCTGTGCCTCTGCCTGTGACGTGCTGCGCTGCGCGCGCCGTCTGCCTGTAGCCTACTGCCTGCTGCCTACTGTGTTGTCTGCTGCTGCTACCGCGCAGACCTAAGTCACGCACGCTGCCCGCTGCTGCCTCAAGCGTCGCCCTCGCTGCTCGCGCCGCTCTGCTGCCCCTCACACGCCGTCAGCGCAGCGCACAGCCCCCAGCGAGCCGCGTGCAGCCCCGTCGAACCGCGTGCAGCCCCGTCGAGCCGCGCGCAGCCCGGATTTGCCACGCGCAGCCCCCGCCGAGCCGCGCGCAGCCCCGTCGAGCCGCGCGCAGCCCCGTCGAGCCGCGCGCAGCCCGTTTTCTGCTGCGCGCGGCCCCGCCGAGCCGCGCGCAGCCCGTTTTCTGCTGCGCGCGGCCCCGCCGAGCCGCGCGCAGCCTGCTGCTGCCGCGCGCGACCCCCCCCGAGCCGCACGCAGCCCCTGCCGAGCCGCGCGCGGCCTGCTGCTGCTGCGCGCAGTCCCTGCCGAGCCGCGCGCGGCCAGCTGCTGCTGCGCGCGGCCTGTTTCTGCCTCCCGCAGCCCGCGCTCGGCCCACAGCAGCCCCGCGCGCTGCCCTGCATAGCCTGCAGCTGCATCGGCCCCGACCTTCCGCTGCTGCGGCCCCTCGCTGCTGCTGCCGAGGCTCCGACCTGCCGCTGATGCGGCCCCCACTCTGCGACTGCCGCTGAAGCGGCCCCCCACCCTGCAGTTGCTGCGGCCCTACTCTACTGTCGCTGTTCCGGCCCCATCGCAGCTGCGGTCGTGCGCCTACTCGGCCCTGCTCGCCCGGCGAGCACCTGCCCTTCCAGCCTTTGGTGAGCACCTGCCTGCCTGCCTGCCTGCCTGCTTGCCTGCCGGCCTGCCTGCCTGCCTGCCAGCCTGCCTGCCTGCCTGCCTGCCTGCCGGCCTGTCTGCCTGTCGGCTTGCCTGCATGAATGCTGGCCTGCCTGCCTGCCTGCCTGCCTGCCTGCCTGCCTGCCTGCCTGCCTGTCAGCCTGCCTGCCTGCCTGCCGGCCTGTCTGCCTGTCAGCCTGCCTGCCTACCTGTCTGCCTGCCTGCCTGCCTGTCTGCCGGCCTGCCGCGCCTGCCCTGCCCGAGCTGCTGCTGCTACTAGCTATTAGCAAGGGACCAGATGCAGCTCCAGCGACGCTCACGCGAGTCTCTCACGCCCCAGCAGCTTAGTGAGTGGTATACTAGTTGGGGCTGTCGCGGTAGCCGTCGTAGCTGTCGCCCTGGAGCTGGTCAGTTGGGGGCCTCTAGCAGTGGCCAGCTGCAGCTGCAGCGGCGTCCACGCAAGACACTTACGTCTCGGCAGCTCGAGGAGTGGTACGCTCAGAGTAGAGGGTCTTTCAGTCCAGTGCGCTGCCGGTACGTCATTCGCACAGGTGATCGAGCTGGTCAGACCTGCGGGACGCCTGGTCACACACAGTCCCGCTGCTTCGCCCGCCTGAGCGACGCCTGGCGTACCGAGTTTGGTGACGAGGCTGAGCTCCCCACCTGGCTGGAGCTGCTTAGCCAGAGGATAGATATCTTTGCTCTTGACTATGATGCTATTCTCACTGCTATGTATGCATTGCCTACTAGTGCTGACCGAGCCTGTTACCTGTGCGTACCGCCTGACCCAGGTATAGAGCCTGCTGCTCTCGGTGCTGGTGAGGCTGCTGCTCTAGGTGCTCGTGCGTCGCCTGCTCTAGGTGCTGGTGAGGCTGCTGCTCTCGGTGCTACTGCGTCTTCTGCTCTAGGTGCTGGTGAGGCTGCCGCCCCAGGTGCCTGTGAGTCTGCTCTCTCTGGTACTGCGCCTGCTGCGGCCTTGCACACCTTCACCCTTGACTCAGGAGCTTCCCGCTCCTTCTTTCGCGACTGCACCACACTCACGCCGCTTAGTCGGCCGGTTGCAGTCTCCCTGGCGGACCCCTCTGGGGGTCCTGTCGTTGCCCGCTACTCCACGGTTTTGCCGTGTCCGGCCGTCCCATCTGGCGTGCTGTCAGGTCTCTACCTCCCCTCGTTCTCTACGAACTTGGTGAGTGGAGCTATTAGACATCCAGGATGGGGGAGTTGACCAGTTCACTCCTGCGGGTCAGCGGGTGACTCACTGTACGTGTGCTCGGACGGGCCGACACCTGGCCACGTTTACCCGTGCGCCTGGCTCGAGTCTGTACACACTGACCACTGCGGCCCCTCAGGTAGCTGCGTCTGCGTCTGCGTCCGGTCAGCTGTCGGCCCCCTGCGAGTGTCGTGCTTTGTCGCACCAGACCCTCCTGTGGCACCACCGCCTTGGTCACCCCTCGGTGCAGCGCCTTCGTGGCATGCACTCTCGCTCTCTGGTTTCTGGTCTCCCCAGGACTCTGCCTGCCCTCCCTCCCTCGCCTGCGCCGCCTTGCATTCCCTGCGTCGAGGGGCGGCAGTGCGCCGCTCCTCACTCCTCCTCGTTCCCTCCCACAGAGGCTCCCCTGCAGACTCTCCACCTGGATGTGTGGGGCCCAGCCCGCGTCCGTGGACAGGGCCACGAGCGGTACTTCCTGCTGGTCGTCGACGACTTCACGCGTTACACCACGGTCTTCCCCTTGCGCAGCAAGGGTCAGGTCCCTGATGTTTTGATCCCTTGGATCCGCGCTGTTCGTCTCCAGCTCCGCGAGCGGTTCGAGAGGGACTTTCCTGTCCTGCGTCTGCACTCTGACAGAGGTGGTGAGTTCACCTCCGACCTCTTGGCAGCCTACTGTGCGGAGCACGGCGTCCGCCAGACGTTCACGCTTCCGGCCTCTCCGCAGCAGAATGGGGTTGCTGAGCGCCGCATTGGCTTAGTCATGGAGGTCGCTCGTACCTCCATGATCCATGCGGCTGCCCCTCATTTTCTGTGGCCGTTTGCGGTTCGGTACGCCGCGCATCAGCTCAACCTCTGGCCCCGTGTCTCCTTGCCGGAGACCTCGCCCACACTGCTGTGGACGGGGAAGGTTGGCGATGCGTCGCGTTTCCGGGTCTGGGGTGCTCGTGCCTTTGTCCGCGATACCACTGCGGACAAGCTCTCCGCCCGCGCTATTCCCTGTGTCTTCCTTGGCTTTGTCCCTGACGCGCCTGGTTGGCAGTTTTACCACCCCACCTCGCGTCGTGTCTTTGCGTCTCAGGACGTCACGTTCGACGAGTCGGTTCCCTTTTACCGTCTCTTCCCCTACCGCACTGCCCCTCTCCCTCCCCCGCCGCTCTTCCTCGCTCCAGGTGCTCCCCAGGTCGACCCTCTCCCCGCTCCAGGTCCTGCTCCCTCAGGTGTGTCTCAGGTAGACCCTCCTCCCTTCCCTGCGCCGGTTGAGGTCACTGGTGACTCAGGTCCTGCTGGGGGTGGTCCTGCTCGGGGTGCTACTTCTGGGGGTGCTGAGTCTGGGGGTGCTGAGCCTGGGGGTGCGGAGCCTGGGGGTGCGGAGCTTGAGGGTGTAGAGCCTGGAGGTGCTGAGCCTGCGTGTGAGGGGTCTGGAGGTGCTGGAGCTGGTGGTTCTGGGGCTGCTGAGGGTGCGAGCGCTGGAGGTTCTGGAGCTGCTGGAGGTCCTGGTGCTGGTGGCGCTGGAGCTGCTGAGGGTGCTGGCGCTGAGGGTTCAGAGTCTGCTGTTGCGCGGTCTCCTTGGAGTAGCCGCCTTCGTCCACGTGTGCCTCTCACCTCACAGCAGCTGCACGACTGGTACGGTCGCCGTCAGGGTCGCGCTGCTGGAGCCCGGGGCTCTACTGCTGGGAGTACTTCTGCTGCCGTCCCTGGAGCTAGGAGTGGTGCTGGTACTGTTTCTACTGGAGGTGCTGGAGTCGCTGGTCCCGGAGGTGCTCGTACTGGAGGTACTGGAGCTGCTGGGGCTGAGGGTGCTGCGTCTGGAGGTGCTGCTGCTGGAGACACCGAGGCTGGAGACCCTGGGACTGGAGGTGCTGGTTCTGGGGGTGCTGCTGCTGGAGACGTGGAGGCTGGAGACCCTGGGACTGGAGGTGCTGGTTCTGGGGGTGCTGCTGCTGGAGACGTGGAGGCTGGAGACCCTGGGACTGGAGGTACTGGTTCTGGGGGTGCTGCTGCTGGAGGCACTGGGGTTGGAGACCCTGGGCCTGGAGGTGTCGGTTCTGCTGCTGGAGCTGCTGGAGCTGCCGGTACTGGTGCAGCTGCGCCGCCACGACTGTTCTTCGCTCCGCCGTCTCCGTCGTCTCTGCCGCCGCCTGACTCTGTTCTTCGTCAGGTTCTTACTCTCCCGTCGTCTACTGGTCTTCCGTTACAGCCTGGCTCACCGCTGCCTGCTCCTTCTCCTTACACTGAGCAGACAGGTAGTCTTGCTGAGCGTCGTGAGCCTGCGTCGCGTCCTGTCTCGCCTGTTCGTCCTAGTCATACCGGTCGTCGTGTTCCGCGTCCGCGTTCGCCGCCTGTCCCCACCGCACACCTTGTCGTCCGTCGTCCT